AGAGCTCCCCGCCTCGCCCACTGGGTCATCCGCGGGGGGGCCTCCAAGGCAGCCGCGCTCTCGTGCCCCGCTGTCCTGGCGCCCCCTCGCTTCGCTCGGCGCGAGGCGCGAGCTTCGGGCGACTCGGGTGGAGGCTGGATCCGTGGCCAGGGGACACCTCTCGTCGAGGAGGTTGGGGAGAGGGGCTCGAGGCTCCAGGCAGTTGGGCTTTTTCGGCGGATCTCGTCGGTTTTCCAGCCCCATGGATGTTCTTGAATTCAAAACCTAGTGTTTGAATTCAAAACAATGTTTCTTGAACCCAAGAAAGCAGGTTCGTGAATTCGAAGAGCAGCCGCGCCTCGCCGAGAGCTTTCTGGGGTGCGTTTGGTTTCGTTTCGAGTGGCCGCTGGAGACCCGAGTTCTGACTCGAAAGCCAGACGACGACTGAGCCGCCACCAGCCTAGTTGTTTCCGATGTTTGCATGCCCTATGGCGCTGAGCCTTTCCACGAGCGTTTATGGGGACTTCGAGGGCCGTTGTCGTGGTACGATCTTCTTCGTTCACGTCGCGCTACCATTACCTTGATTCTTGAAAACTCTGTAGCTGTCGGCGTCAGCATAGTGATTATTACTGCCACGCAGTGCATGTCGAATGGGGCAACATGTGGAGCAGTGCGTTGCGCAGTTAAGGGGGGAGAGGAGTGAGGGAGAGGGGCAAGCTAGATGCGCTCGCACTACACCTGACATCCTATCCCTCCCTCATCCCTTCGCATTGCGCTGCGTTTTCTGTATCCGCGGACGCGTGTTATAGCTGACCTGAAACTCTTACAACAAGACCCCATCATGGGATGCGCAATCGGAAAAAGGGGAGCTGCGTACATATAAGGAGATTGAAGAGATAGTTGGCGGGTGAGCAGGAGGATGTGCAGGAGGAATATGAGGAGGATGTCGAAGGACCAAGACGATGACGAGCAGCAGCAGCAGCAGCAGGGATTGGAGTGGAAGGATCAGGTGGAACAGCATGACCAAGGGAAGGCGGCGGAAGTAAAATGACGGGGAGGACAACGATGAACAAGGTCCCGGATCCATAAAATTAGTCCACGCTTAGGCGAGAGCGCCATTTGGAATGACAAGAGCAAATTGCCGATCTGAACACGAGGCCCACGCTGCACGGGGAGCACCACTTTTAAATACCGAATGCTATCTGATTGTGGGACGAACCATCGGGAAAACCACTTTTGTCGCTAATTTTCCAGCATGCGGAGATAGCCAGCTATTTTCGGGACGGAGTCAGGGGAGAGAGGAGAGCAGTTCATGATGTGAAGTTCTAGAGGGGGAGACGAAGGAACAGGGCCGGGAGAGGGGTCGTGGAATCACGGGAAGAAAGCCCACCCCGACCCCTACAACTTGCGTTTGCAGAGCAGCCTTCGGCGTTTACGAAACAGCCCTGCCCTATCCGAGCCCTCCCTGAGGTGCGTTTACTAATGGGCTTCACTTGTTGAGGTGCTGATTGTGATGGGTGGTTCTTCTGCCCTCTGGAAGGGTGAATCAAGGAAGAGCTGGGGCTGATCAGGGGGAGCCAGGGTGCCACGTGCTCTGGAGACCTCGTGGCGCAGAAGGTCTGCAGGGCCACCGCGAAGTCGCTGTTTTTTTTGCGGTCCTGTCGAGTGGAAATAAATGCCTCCGGGTCAGGAAAACAAAGGTACCCATGCTGCTACCTTTGCCCCGTCTTCGCCTTGTCGGGCCTCCTGGGAGGTCCTCGTCGCCGCCGCTAGATTCGCATCGAAATTCTGGTCAGAGCGGACCCCAGGAGAGGTCCGGGGAGTAGCGCTATCGGCACCTTTTGGCTTCCCCATTGGTGGCTTCCCGAGGGCCCCCTTCGCACCTCCCGGGAGTCTCACGGCCTCTTAGGCCGTCTTGGGCTGTCAGATGTTCGAAAGGGTACAGTCAGCCCAGATTAGTAGGTCGACCCTGCCAAATCAAGGTTACCCTTGTGTCCTGAGTCTCGCGACCCATGCTTCCTACATTCCTGTGGCAATGTGGCCCTCGGAAGGGTCTTGTCTCTGTCCTCTCGCGGGTCCTGTGCAATCGAGTCCGACTGTAGAAGTCCCCGAACGTGGATTTCATATTCATGGGGCCCTCCTGGAGGGCCTCTTGAAGCCCTCTCGAGCCGTGCCGGGGGGCTTCTTTTGTGTTGTCCCAGAGCCATCTTCGGTCCTCTTTCTATTCAGGCCATCTTCGGCCGCCCTGAGGCCATCTCTTGGGCCGTCTTGGAGCTGTCTGGGGCCGTCTGGAGGCCCTCGCAAGTTCCAAATTCTACAGAATCTGGGTCGGTGCTCCCCCGAGAGCTGTTGTGGTGTTTTGCGAGCCCCCATCGCTCCTCGCTCTCTCCTTAGTTTGCAGCTTACAGAGCCTTGCTGCTGCATTTCATCTGCCGCCCATACGAACCCTCTACACGGTCAAGGCCACGGGGCGCTCGCAGGCATGCACATCGGGGGCCGCCGTATTCTTGACGCTTCGCGT